ATACCAGGAGAGGCTGAAATCTCTCAAATTGTTTTCCTTGAAAAAAGAAGAGTTGGGGGGGGGGGATCTGATTGAGGTGTTTAAAACTGTAAAGGGAATTGATAGCACTGATGCATCATCTTTTTTTTTTATATTTAACAATGAGAATAGTAGGACTATGGGACACAAATATAAATTTTAGCAAGGTAGGAATCATCTTCAAGCTAAGACAGTTTCATTTTTCCAACAGGGTGGTTGGCCTTTGGAATGGGTTGCCTTCAGATGTTGTAGAGGCAGTAAATTTAAGTGATTTTATGAAAAAAAGCTTGATAAATATATGACCAATAAGGGCTGGCTTTAAGATTATTATTTTTTAATTATTTTAATTTAGTTTAAAGTATGGAACAGCCGAAATGGACCAATAGGTCTAATGTTGTCCCAAAATGTTATGTTATGCTTCAAAATTAGATAAAGTTTGGTAATAATACTTTGATTTCAAAGATAAGATAAACCAATAAGGTAAAAACTTTTAGTTTTTTGGAAATTACAATTAATTAATTACATCCGGATAAAGTCTCATACCGATCAACTTTTAATGAAAACTTTTATACAGATACGATAACTCTTAAGTTATTCTGTAATGTATTATATGAAATTATAATATTGGAGCAAAATGAAAAACGTTAGCATACACCTATTTCCTCACTATCGTGAAGTCTTTTACAGATAAACAAGTAAATCATTGCCAAGCCAAGAATCAAATATGACTACAATGCTAAGGAAAAAAATTTACCATACACCTACCTTTCCACTATTGTGAAGCCCTTTCCAGATAACCAAGTAAATCATCACCCAGCCAAGAAGCAAATATAACGACAGTTCCATACGCAAGTTTCCTGGTTCATCAATTCCAGAAGTAATGCCAAGAACGTGACGCCTGGAATAGAAAAAAATATAAACAATATAAATAATATAAAATGTAACATGAATAACATGGCATTTCATAGTGATTATTCTCACAACTATGTTTTAAGTTAGAACTTACTTTGTTTTTATCAGGTCAACAAAATCAGTGGTATGAAAATGCTAATAGATAAAATCCAGTACATACTTCCAAAGCTTTTCTTTTCAAAATATTTATACTTATCTGTCATATAATTATAAAATGTAATAGTGATTGAAGTGTTTCAGGCAAATGTTGCTTTAAAAGCAAGTAAAATATAAATGGATGAGTGATGGAAAATAAGCAGGTAAAAAAAAAAAAAAGGCTTCTAAAATACCATTCTTCATAAAGTAAACAGATTTATAAAACCTCAATTATATTATGACTGACAATTTTAAAGAAAAATTATTGCCCTTGTTTTGAAAATATGAGAATCATCTCTCATAACTGATAAATCTGAAATACCTATCATACTGCAATATTTACATGTGAAGTGTAAAAATTATACCTTCAAAAGTACAAAAAATACTTACTCCCAAAACTCATCGATAGGCGTGGTAAAATTACTAATAGAAACATTAGCAACAGAAACATTGCCAAACTCAGGATCTACACAGTTAGCAGTGTTCCAAGGTCTACCACAACCTTTCCATGGAAGATCTGATGTAAATGATGAAACCAGATAAAACAGAGTCCAAGCTATCACAACCACGAAGTAGATGTTGTACAGACATACGATTGTCATTGATGCAAAGCCAACACCTAAAATTTAAGAAAGAAAAAAAAGGAGAAAATGGTATACAAGTTATTTAAGTACCAAAAATTGGAACTTTTAAATCTGTAAAAAAGAAAATCAGTTTATTCTTTGTAAAAGATGATTTAGCTTTCCTCCCTTCTGGTAGAAAAGGACAAAATTTGTGAATAAGGTTGAACATTCTGATATTTTGTAATAAGTGCAACAAAATAATGACATTTATCAAACTAGAACCTGTAAAAAATTAATCAAAAACAGTCTATCAAATGCAAATTAACAAACATAGTATAAAATGGTTATTTTCTGAATACTGCAATTCAAAAAGAAGGGTATCATTATAGTTTTTCTGAATTATTAAATTCAAACAAAAGCACTGATGAAGTTAACTTGTCCACATTATTTCATAAACCTTAGTCATTATTTTGGACTTATTGTTCGATCCAGATAAATAGACCAATGTTTCAGACTTAATTACTGGATCTACAATTGGTTTTAAATCAATCTTCACCAATATATTGTTTATGAATTACTATATGTTATAAAACTGTTTTTTTGTAATTGAAGCAAGATCATTACTATAGTTTTGTCATATCAATTATCACCAAACAGCATTTGAAATCAGGTAATAATTTAATGAGTGTAAATAAAATTAATTCTGGAACAACTGTAACTTCCTCTGTTTCACTGCATGAGCCAACAGATAGTTGAACCTTGAAAGTAATTTTCAAAACTTAAATGATACCCTTCTTCAGCATCATCACCCAACTAAATCTATGGTTTGTATACAGCTTAATTTTAACCTTATAACATCAGTTCTAAATATACACAGTTTAATTATGATTACCAAGATTAAATGTTCACTACCAAATGTTTTTTGAGATTTTAGAAGTCATTTTCTAATATCTTGTGTTCTTACTGACATTTGTCACAGTGGTCACAATATTTTCTGCCTAACATGTGAGCATTACTACTCCTCAATTTCCTTTTCAATTCTAAGTTACACAACTTATCTATCAAAAAAAAAGTATTAGTTTTTTTTGCTTTAAAAACATCATATAGAATAATTAGTTGCACTATTACATTCAAAATGAAAAAAAAATTAAATATTAATTTCCAATGTTAGGGAATTAATCTGAATGCTTGTAACAAAAATATAAACTTTAAAGAAAGTAAGATTTAAAAGATTAGTGCACACACCTTTCAACTTATAGGCACAAGTAGTAGTTGATAAAAGACAGTGAGCTTGATCAAACAGTAGTGGGGAAACTAATTCATCAAAATGATGTTAATATGTGTAACAAAATGCAAATGTTAATATTTAACTGTTATTATGAAAATTTTTAAATCTCTAAAGTAGGTATAAAATATCAGTAGATCATGCTATAAAAATTAGTATGTTATTCTTTGGAAAGGAATATGATTAAATGTGAAGTTAGCAGTTAGATTCTAAATATACTACTATTTCAAAATGAACTAGAAACAAATATAGTGTTTAAAACTAATTTAATAGAGACTCTTAAAATCTTCACAAAACATTTGGTAGGAAAATTTTTCTAACAAAAATGTCAGTAAATCTTCTCTATTTT